ATTGAGACTCCGAACGAATCAACGAAATACCGTGCTTTGATTTCTTTATTTCAGAGAATCTTGATTGAATTAAATTCGCGTTACAAAATTTTAAACTCTTTGCTTCACATATAAAATTCGTTGAAACGCAATTTTAAATGCAATTTTCTTATGTGTCCCATAGAGATTCATTAAAGTGAGGTTTGTTTGCTGCAAACACTTTTTTTTTTTTGACTTGATTAGAATTCAGTTTTTAATCCGAATCTATTCAATTCGTTCGGAGTCTTAGCTGACCCTATCAATGATTTAATTGGTGAATTTAAAAAGGCCTATAATTTAAACGAATTAGGTAAATCCTTTAAGATGAATCACATTGATTTTTTATTATAGTGTACTCATAAATCATAAATGATAGTTAATAAATGTAAAAATTGTTTTCAAAAACATTTGGAGTGTGAGTTTGTCTTAAGTTGAGCTTGTGGAATAAACAGCACCTCCTTCTTTTATAAAAACATTAACCCTGAGTCATTTCTAAATATCGTGATACTCTTTGATTCAAGAATAAATTAATACCACTGAACCTTTATACCCTTGTAAAGTCATAAAGTCAAAAAAAGGAACTAAGTGGTGGAGGATGATTTTTTTAAATAAAGTATTATTATCATTTGGAGCTTTTATAATTAGTATTATTGGCATGTCTAGGTTTGATTTCGGGTCACAGCATTAATTATTAGCGAAAATTGAAAGATTACAAATTCGAACTTTTTCGTCGAATTGGTTTCAAAATTTCCATCTGTCATTTGTATCGAATTTTGGTAATGTATTATTACATTCTTTAGGCCACTGTGATTCGTGGTCAACATTGATAATTTAGTTTCGCAATGAATATGTTCTTTTTGAAACATTAGGATTATATTTCTAAAGATACAAAATGGACAATTTAATTTTAAAAAATAAATATTTGTTTAATGCTTACGTCAATGTTATTTTTATAAAATTAAATTCGTTTTCTTTATCAATTAATTGTTTAAATTTTTCCACAATTCTTCAACATCTTTAAAGTAATTTTGATCGATAATTAGTTTACTGTACTTGGTTTATTTTTTCGTTTTAATCTTTCCAGACTCTCTTATTTTATGAATTAATTTATCAAATTTTTTGATTTATATCATAGAACTGGTTTTATAATGTAAGCATTTTGTTGGATATTATTAAAAGAGTATAGATTAATTGAGGGTTATTATTGGTTTTTCTTCATGGATGATGTAACGACAACATAAAGCAAGGATTCAATTGTACATGCTCACTTTTTTATAGCATGCCACAGATAATGTATATGTTATTACAGTAATTCAAAATAATGCTTGCGCAGATATTCATTCATTTTGCTATGTTTCTTTGAATAATAAACTTTAGATTTTACCTTATATTAATTAATAACGAAGAAAATATGAACATTCTTTTTTTATCTTGACAGTCATTATAATCTATATATAATCTACTTCATCATGATCTTTATTTTCTTCCCCTTTGTCGTCATCGTATAATAGAATGTTTATTATCTTAATCCACGTCATAGTTATCCTAATGCTCGTCATTATCTTCATGCCAAAAGATTGATTGTAATATTATAATTATAAGTGAAATCACTCCCATGACCATTACTGTTTCCACCATTACTACTGATTGCTACTATTTCCATCAATGACAACACCATTATTATTAAGAAATAAATAACAATCAAACATCAAGGAATCTTTCATATTATTTATTATTATTTGAATTTGTTGATAAAACCAATTCACAATAAAATAATAAACATTCTATAAAAAATTAAAGTTGCTTATAAACCTACAAAAAAACTTTTAAAATAAAGAATTTACACAAGAATTAAACGTATTATTTTTTTATTTTTTTGCCATTTGATGACGAGTATTTTTTAAAAAAATCATTTCGATAAAAATATTAATAGATTTGATTATATATTTTTTTGATGGCTTCTTCTCATAAGCATTGAGTTTTTTTTTTATAAATACAAGCCACTCCTGTGGCATTGAAAAAAAAGGTACATCGAGATGGATTTTTGCCCATGAAATCTCAAATTGTCGCTCAGGATGTCGAAAAAAGATATATAAATAATAATTTTTTCAATGAATGATTATTTAAAACAAGAGATAAATCTTGGCCCTGGAGTTATTTTGCCCTTCAATTGGTAATAACTCGATAAAGAAAACGGGTGTATGGGTTGGCACCATTAATCGTTTAACTGCGGTTAACCGGTTAAGATATTTTTTAACCGGTTAATTCTTTTTGATTAACCAGTTAACCAATTAACCATTGTAAAATTAACCGGTTAACCGGTTAAAGAATTTTTGCGCTGGGCCAACCTCTAAACGGATGTCACGTTCAAAAATCATTGAATGAAAATGCCAATAATATCAAACGGCGTAAATAATTTCCAATTATTTGACTTCTTTGATCGCAATTCTAAAAGATAAAATTTGATTTTTTTGATTTTTAGGTCATTTGCTCTTTAAAATAAAGGAAACAAGCTCGTATGAGCATCATCGTCATCGTCATTTTACTCGAATTTCAAGTGGTTTGGTAGAATAAATAATGAATAATAGTAATGTGAAAAGATAGCACTACGTGCTCAATAAATCAAGGTTCATGGGTTGCTTTGGCTAGTTGAATTAAAATTCAATTATATCATTAAATGTTATGTGTAAAAAAATAAATAATGTGCCTTCGTTATTGCTTTTTTTATAAAAATTCGCGTAACATATGTGGCTAATTTAAACTTGTACGACTTTGAGCCATGATGAGGAAGCTTAGATCTTTCCACTTTACATATTTCCTTTTTTGGAGCCAATAAAGGTTGGTAACTTGCACTGTACTCTCTACTCGAGTACCATGTTTGTTATCTTGTTATTATGACGTGAATTGTACGCAATAAACAAATAAATTTTGTTGATTGATTGACAGTTTTACATTATACTTTTTTTCCTAAATAAAAATGAATGGTTTTTTTTTTTTTAAAAAAAAATTTTAATAACAATCTTTTTTTAATTAAATATTAATTATTAATATAATAATATTATTTATTCACACTTGTATAAATCTCTATTAAATATTTTGAAAATGTTAAAACAAGCTTCTATTTACAACAACTACCAACAACACGTAATCTCCACCAACAACAACTACAACAACAATAATAATATAAATTATAATAACTATAATTATAACAGTTATAATAATTACAACAATCATTATAATCACAATAATATAAAGTACGGTAGTAACAATAATAAAAAATATAACACGGATAATACTCCTACCAACAAAAATACCAGTAACGCCACGATAACCAACAATCATTCCAACTACTCTAATTATAATAATACTAAATATAATAATAATACTCTTTACAATAATAACAACTCCATAAAATCTCATATTAATACTCAATATAACAACAACTACAACAATAATTATAATAGGAATTTCACTGGAGCGTATTATCGTAATCATAGAAATGGTAAATACAATAATCCTACATCGATGCGTGCAGCCCATGTAAATATACCGTTCATCATTAAACTAGACGATTCTGATTCTGATGTTGATAACGATGACGATGACGATGTTGATTCGGATGATGATGAAAGCAGTGAATCTGGAAGTAATAATAATGACACCAATGTCGAATTAAATGCTGATAACACTAGTAATAACAGTTCTGAACTTGATTCAATAACAACTCCTTTTCTACATCCATTATCTCCTGGCGAATCAAATTATCAAAACAACATTAACAGGAAAACCTTATTAAAAAAATTTCCAATAAATAAATACACGGTTGATGAGGTCAATGATTATATTACAAATATAATCAAGTGCTTACAAACTGGTCAATATGAATGTAAATTATGTTATAAATCGATCATGCCCTACCAAAAAACTTGGACCTGCCAGCTTTGTTGTTCGATATTTCATCTTCCCTGCATCAAAAAGTTTGCAACGAATCAAATCATAGAAATTTATAATGATGATAAAAAAATCTTTTGGAAGTGCCCAGGCTGCGATATACCATCAAAATCATTCCCCAACTCATATCACTGTTTTTGTGGTAAGTATAAATATAAATGCATTCATTTTGTAATTGTAATTAATTGAGTTTCAATTGGTGATTAAATTAATATTGGATTGAGTTTAAATATCATATTTCAAACATATTATTAACACTTGTTTGTTTGTTTATTATTTAAAGGTAAAACCACAAATCCAACGAATAAAAATAAGACGCCACATAGTTGTGGTAGAACATGTGGAAAGAAATGTGATAATGACAAGTGCTTATATACTTGTAATCGGTAGTTACAATTATTAATCTTGTAATAATGCATTGCATTATATATATATTGAATTGAATTAACATGATTATTTTTGAATATTTAAAGAATATGTCACCCTGGTCCTTGTCCACCGTGTACTAATGCTTGCAATAAAATTTTAAGGTAAGAGGAAAATTTATTCTTTTTCACTCAAAAACATTCAATGATTAATATGCACGTGTGCTTATTTGTTTTGTAAAGTTGTGGACATAAGTGTCAAGACACCTGCTCTCATGTCGATGAATGTAAATGTAAAACTCAAGTACCAGTCAAATGTCAATGTGGCAGGATAAAATTTAACAAAATGTGTTTTGAGGTTGCTGAAAATGGTGGGCAGATTTTAATATGTAACAAATCATGCAGAGATCAAAAGAATTATAGTGTTGAAAAGGTTGGTTATAGATTTTCTGATTTTATGTAAATAATAACAATCATCATAATAATATTATATATTAATCACTTTTATTTTGATTTTATTTAGAGCAATGCCTTTTGTCCTCAAACATCCAACAACAATAGAAATAGTAGTTACAATACTAATAACTTGGAAAATATCCGTACACACAAAGCTGTATGTGGAAAATTATTAGAGTGTAACAATCATTATTGTCAGAGATTCTGTCATCAAGGTGATTGTGGATCATGTAAAGAAATATCTGACAAGGCGTTTACCTGCAAATGTGGTGGTTCAACACTCCATCCACCAGTACCTTGTGGTAAAAAATTACTACCTTGTCCCTACAATTGTGAATCTTATAGTTACATAAGGAAATGGAACAATAATAATAGATATGGAAATAACAATGCTGTCAGCAATACTAATAACTACACCAGCAGTAATAGTATTAATAACACTAGCAATAACAACCATCACAATCGTAGTATCAACAATAACACTACTAATAATTATAATCATAACCGTAGTAATAACTCCAATAATTACCATCAAAACCGTAGTGGTAACAATAGCAATATTTATCATCACCACAATATCAACAATAATTATCATAATTACAATAACAATTACAATCTCGGTAGCAGTAATAACAACTTTCGCAATAATAATGACAGTGATTATAATAACGTTACTCAATATCAAAGTAAAAATAATAGTTACAAATATACTAATAATTATTACAACAATAGACAAAGTGTTAAAGCCTAATCCTTGGAAAACATTAATTCTTGGAAAATCTTTTTTTTTTTAAAAAAAAAAAAAAAAACAAAAAATTTTGTAAAATCCACAAAAAAATTGATCCTTTTATATTTTTTATGAAAATTATTATATGTTAATATCTGTGAAAAATTATATTTATTATCTGAAAAAAGATAAATTTGCTTATAAAATAAAAAAACCAATATTTTTTTTTTTGCTCTGATAACCGATAATTGGTAATTGATGCTGCTGATACAGTCAACAAGTTTCTCTGTAAACTATCTTTCGGTCCCATAGAGATAAATAAATATACATACTCTTCAGACATTTTTATTCTATATATATGAGATGAAAAAGTTGGACCTGATATCTTCAATTGAGGAACCCCACTCTAAAATATAATTAATCGATGACAAGATTTCCAGCTATTATAATAATAATAAAATACAATATTTCTATGACAATGAATAATAATAATATATCAAATATATCAGATTAAAATATATATATATATGTATGTATAGTTGATTTGAGTTAATCCCATTATGTATCTTTACATGAATTATGTAGTAATGATGTGGTAATATTAGGAATTATATTATTATACAAATATCATAATAATGATAGTCCTCTTCTTTCGTCTGCAATTAGATAATAAATTATTATTTATTGAGGGCACAACAACGATAAATCAAAAGACTGATTATTTGAAAAAACAAAAGATCCTGGAAAAAAAATCTTTATTTAATACAATCCTTTACTTTGTAAGGAGACGATGAAAAAAATATAAATTATTTTTTAAATCAGCAAACAATATTAAAAGAAAAAATCTTGAAAATTCATTATTATATTTATGTTGGTTGAACGTGTAAATATTTTATCTATATAATTTACACTTTTACAAATTTGTAATTGAATATATGATTAGAGTAAGAAAGAAAAATAAATGAACAATGAATAAATGAATTAATGAATATTAATTGAATGTTGAGTAATAAATAAATAATCTATTATGATCTATGTCAATGAATATAAAGATTCTAAAGACTATGATGAAGAATAAACCAATAGCAATTATTTGTTACAGATTTAGGTAAGAAAAATACATTCTATCGATTTAATAATAATAACAGTTAATAATAATAATAACAACAATATTTTAAAATATAAAATATTGTAATTTGAGAAACACAATAAATACAGCAAGTAATGTACTCACATACCTATAATATTAATTTTTTTTTATAAAATGAATAATTTTAAAATATCTTTTCTTGGAATTTCCTAAATTTCTCATCAATACCTGAGGATTTTAATTTAATATAATTTAATCCTAGATTTTAAATTTAATTCTGCCAAAAAATATATATATATCGATAAACTATACAAGATTTTTTTTCTTGATTTATTGTTTAAACTTACATGGAAAATAAGAGCCAAATCTTGCTGCTCTATTTATCCAATCTATAAAATTACACGATATACAATTTATTAATCATGCATTAGAAAGAGGGAGGGAAAACAGTATATGTAAATAATATTGGTTTCTTACTTGGTGCAGCTTTGCCAACTAATTTCAGACACAATTCATTTGTGAAATGATTGCAATTCCTGTTATTTATCATTACCGTTATCGTTATCCATTATTTAAATACTATTTTATTGTTTTAATTATTCAGAAATTAATACCTTGTTAACAATTGATAAGTGTTTCCTTTCCATTCTTCGGATAACTCATCAATAATATTTATGATTTCTTCTTTATCATAGTCACTATACCCAACTAAAATAGAATCCCTATTAAAAAAATAATAATAATAACAGTAAATTATTATAGTTGCAATGATAATGTGGTGGATGCATCATATTATATTAAGTTATATGCATTATATTATATGGTTACCTATAGGTGACATTTGGTGGGCCAACTCTTGGAGGTAATTCAAATATTCCAGTACACTCATCATCACTTCCACCAAAATTATATTCTAAATGTCACATAATTAAAACCTTTAAAATCGTTTATAATGATTATTATAAGGGTTTTTATAATCAATTAATATACCTCTCCCTAATATTTCTACTCCAGAATGAAATACCCCTAATAAATAAATAAAATTTATTATTATTTATTAATTTATATTAATTAATTATTCACTTATTGCTAATTATTATATTTATATCGTTTGTTACCAATTCCACATTTATATCCAAATTCTGTAATGGTTTTTTTTGGCAACTTCAAAATAAATAATAAAAAAAGGATTATTATAATTGAAAGTAATTCACAATATACATTATATATAATTTATGTTTACACTTTACCATATCATACACATTCACATACACCTTAATGACAAATAATAATTAATAAATAATAAATTAAATTTTCAAAGTTAATGTCTCATTCTTTACCGGAATTTGATTTTCATTGTACAAAGATGTTGATGAATTTGAATCATCGAAAATGCAAAATAAACAATTCATTTTTATTCTAATATTTCCAATAATGACAATTATGATTTATTATAACGACAGTGATTATGAATTCTAGAGTTTATTATTATTATTATTATTATTATTATTATTATTTGTGTACACGTAAAATAATAATAAAAATACTCGGCACTCAATTTTTGTGATACAAAGTGAGCATGAATTCCGCAGCTTCTAAAACTTTATTTTTTACAATGACTTAAACTAATAATAATACATGTATAATTAAATAATATTTAAAATAATGAAAAAACAATTGCCTTTTTTTTTCTGTGGATATTTATTCAACATCCAATCCATCCATTGTTGTATTTTTTTGAGATTGATCATCTTGGAATTGTTCAGTGTCTTTAGACGATATTTCTATTTGATCAAGAGATTTTTGAATGGATGATTGTGATCGTATTAGTCCTTGTTGAGGATGATACTGTATTTATTGTTGTGGTGGTGGTGATGGTGTTTGTGGTTGTTTTAATTTTTGTTGTTGTGAATAAATTTGAGTTGGAGGAACTTTAGGAAAATTCATTCTGTTGGTGAAAAGACCTTTAATGCTTCTGATTTCTTTTTTAATTTGGGATGCATCAAGATCCTTATCTATCATTAATCCTGATGGAGTATTTATCGTGCTTGAAAGATATGTAACTAGGGAACCTAACGAGTCTTGAATTTCGTTTATCTCTTCTTTTGGATTTTCAAATTCTTGATGAGCTTTCAATTTTTCTGCCATGCTTGTTAAATCCGTTGAAAGTGTCGTAAGCAAAGAAGGTTCTAAAGAAGATGTTGTTGATGACGTGGAAAATTTTAACGATAAAATTTCGCTAGTATCTTTGCCTAATTCTGTAGATTTGTCATCATCATCATCATCATCATCACCATCATCATCATCGTCGTCGTTGTCGTCGTCGTCGTCGTCATCTTTAATATTTATTTCCCGAGAATTCTCAATAATAAATTTATTAGTTTTAGTTTTAGGATATATTAATCTCTTCAATGACTCAAATGATGCAAGATTCTCATTAAATTTTTTAAATAGAGGTATCGTTGGTACATTCAATTCTGGTGAAGAAAATGAGTGTGATGGTGAAGAAAACTTGCCATGACCGTTTACTGTGCTATTTCCGTTTTGTGATGGATTTGAATTTTCTGTTGGAACTTTAGGAAAATTCATTCTGTTGGTGAAAAGACCTTTAATGCTTCTGATTTCTTTTTTAATTTGGGATGCATCAAGATCCTTATCTATCATTAATCCTGATGGAGTATTTATCGTGCTTGAAAGATATGTAACTAGGGAACCTAACGAGTCTTGAATTTCGTTTATCTCTTCTTTTGGATTTTCAAATTCTTGATGAGCTTTCAATTTTTCTGCCATGCTTGTTAAATCCGTTGAAAGTGTCGTAAGCAAAGAAGGTTCTAAAGAAGATGTTGTTGATGACGTGGAAAATTTTAACGATAAAATTTCGCTAGTATCTTTGCCTAATTCTGTAGATTTGTCATCATCATCATCATCATCATCACCATCATCATCATCGTCGTCGTTGTCGTCGTCGTCGTCGTCATCTTTAATATTTATTTCCCGAGAATTCTCAATAATAAATTTATTAGTTTTAGTTTTAGGATATATTAATCTCTTCAATGACTCAAATGATGCAAGATTCTCATTAAATTTTTTAAATAGATCGAGTTGATGTGAAAATAATTGTTGTTTGGCACTAATTATGGAATTAATGTATGAAACAACATATTTCTATAATGTGTTATGCATAACAAGATGATAAAATTAGCCTTTAAAGAACCTCGTGATAAAATAAATAAATTTAAGGATCATTATTCAAATTTAATTTGCCTTGATAAAAGTAATCATGATGACACTAAAAGCACCAGTGATCATTGACACGATAATTAGTTGCTGCCATAAAGGTCTTCTCCTAGCAACAATAACATCACTATTAGTTGAAGAAGGTTGCTGTGGATATGTACGTGGTGGTATTGCAGGTGGTGTGGTTGGAGAATTTGATGATGTAGCTTCTAAAACAGGCTTGTTTGGAATTTTCTATATTCATGTTATAATAAACTGCTATAGAATAAATTGTATATAAAACCTCGCTTGTGACATGACCCTTACATTTACCTGGTTTTCTATATTTGCATTACTTTCATCATCGTTCACAATTTTTTCTGATTCTGATATTGCTGCTACTTTACCCATTTCTTGTTTAAATTTTTTTGTTTGTAGACATGTGAGAAACGTAAACAACATCAACATACATGCATATTTATGTCGAAGTGAGTAACACTACATTTGTTTACATATTTTCTAAATTAATTTAAAATCCTAAAAATTAAAAAAAAAATATTATACTGACAAAATTTTTTGATAATGGATCCGCTTCTTTTCACCACTCCTGCTAAAATTCGTGTGCTTCTTGTTCCAGTTCATCCAATTAAAGCACAAGTGTTTCATAAACATGTCGAATTAGTTAGAAAATTTAATGTAGTCAAACTTGGTGATGTTACTCCTGACATGCGTAGTGTTCAATGTATGTGTGTAAAGCTTTTATAGATCAATCATGATCTATCTACACACTTTAATTGAAAAATTGAATTAGATTCATTCCATTTTAATTACCTGTATAATGGTTTAATGGTTTATCATGTTAAAATTTTATTACAGCAATGTTTAGCTCACAACTTTTTCATGAAGGACAACTGCATTTTAATTTTGTGACTTCTTACGAGCCGGAACATTCATACCTTGAAGAATTTCAAATGCATCGAAGAATTTTTGGGGTACTTGAATCAAAATTTTTTTACTATATTGAATTTATGTTATACTGTTATTTATACACGTATTATAAATATATTATCTAGGTAATTGGGATAATGGATTGTCGTGAATGGCAGAGTTTGCCAGATGGATATAAGAAATTTTGTGAAATACTAAAAAAGGTAAGTGTGTAGTGAAAAGTTAATAAAAATTATTTGATATAATACTTTGTGAAATAGCTAG